AAGCCTAAGCCCACTCTTACCTTACAGTGAACGCACCTTCCACAGAGCTATCATCGTCCAGAGCCTCCTCGTCTGTATCCCGGTCTCTATCCTCCACGGTGCTTCACAAGTCTCACCGAAAGACATTCCGCCTGGAATGTTTTCAACGACTGAGCTCGAGCTCCTATCCGACGATGCTCGCGTTGCCTTCTACGACTTTGACCTCAACCCCTGGCTGCTGCCGCATCTGTGTATTTTTACGCTACTAGTATTATATTGTTACCTCACCGGAGCGGTCTACACACGATCTATCTACACCTACTTGGAGCGTCAAACTGAGCTGAGCAAGAAAACCAGGCGCATGCATAGGAATGCAGTGCTTTCGGCTGTAATTGCGGTAGGTGGAGGGTAAGAATGCCAAGTGGTATAAGCCCAAGCATAAGCCTCAGCCTAAGCTCAGGCCTAACCCTCAGCCTGCGCCTAAGCCTACTAGGCTTAAGCATCACCACGGGAAAAATTTTAGGTCAGCATCCTAGCCGTCTGGCTAATGCCTGGCGTTTTAATGTTGAATTTGACCGAGCTGAAACTTGCCGGTTGGATGCCGAGAAGTAGGCTTTGAATATAGGTATGTTGATTTGTGGTATATTTCAGTAATGGGCCACGTGGGCGCGATGGCCTTTGTTGGTACCAGCGAAATATTCGGTATCTTGAATATCCTCTACATCGAGAACTACCGGAAATGGGTGATAAGCTCTCTCACCTGTCAATCTAAGGGTTGTTATAGCTTTCGCTTCATGATCTATCCTTGTTAGATTCGAGGAAGGATACACCGAGGGTCGCCTCCGTCACTATGTCAAGAAACGGCTCTTACACTTACTCGAGACGACAACCCAACTGATTAAGCGGAATAAAAGATGTTGTAAGCATAAAATGAGAACCTTTTAAAAGCAGATTTTTACTTTTTTTTGCGTTGTCTTTTATTTGTATTGACCATAACTAATTTCTTTTACATTAAATTGGGCTCTAACTAAAACGCATAGTATCTTTCTTGACGCTCTATTAAATCAGGTTAAAATAAATTCCCTTAGCTCTGCTGATGCTAAACCATGCTGATGCCTTAACTTCTTCATTTTAAAATATTATGAGCTGCCATAAAAATCCTTGGCACATTTTTTGATGCTCTATCAAATAAATTAAAATAAATTTACTGAAAACAATACCGAAAAGTAGTGTTGAACCCCAGGTTCCTCTATAAGGAAATTAAGGTTGGATCTTGCTCCTGCCAAAAATTATTCGAATGATTATTCTGAGCTACCATAAAAACCAGCATAGTTTTTGAAGCTCTATTGAATGGCATTTTCCAATGATCGAAAAAATAGCAAAAATCTGGAAAATTTGGTGAGCTACTGGCGGGGGAAAAGGCAAAATCTGAAAAAAATTGTCTACAAATGACATATTGAAAATATCAAAAAATAGCCAAATTTTTGGGGATTTGGGACCTTGAGGCTGTTAGGGTAAAGTAAGTTCTTGGCCGGCGCTTCTCCTAAACGTGAGGGTTGAAAGGTTATGCCTCGAGCACGCATAACACGGAAGCATTTGCCCAAAACTCCTCGCAATCGTTCTTTGCACTATCATTTGTTTACGAGACTCGCCGTGCAGTTTGGGGCTGGCTATCTGGGTTGTTTGTGTGTGTCTCGAATCGAGGCCATTGCCTTTGCCGCCCGGGGTCTCGCAGGTTCTTGTCCACTCTCTTTCCCTTCACATCTATGTTGTTGCCGGCGCTCATTTTTTCGAGGGCAAATCGATCTTTCACTTGCCCCAAAACGCGCCACTCTGATCGCACGATCAGACGATAGTGGGAATTTTCAATTTTTTTAGGGTTTCCCAAGGATTTTCCGGAAAATTTCAGGGGTCCGTACGTTGCCGAAAAATTTATAAATCTGAATTTTTCTTTTTTTCTTGCTTCACTTTGGATACCTTCACCAACAAAATCCCCTTTTTTCCCTAGTAAATTCCCGATGACTTTTCAGTATTAATACTTCTTAAAAAAATTGAAAATGTTTTGCTTGGTTTTCCGTTTTGTTCTTGGCCTAAATAATTTTTCGTTCTGTAGAAAATGGGCGACCACAATCAGTATGGCTTCGAAACCGACGCGATGACGCTGCAGCGCTGGATTCTCCAAGTAAAATTTTCAAATAAAACTTAAAAATCGATTTAAGGAACAAGAAAAGCACCCCCACGCTACCGGAGAGTTCACCAACTTGATGACGGCCATGCTGGTGGCGGTTAAAGCTATTGCATCGGCCACGCAAAAAGCTGGATTGGCCAAATTGTAAGCGTTATGAAAATTCAAACAAAAAAATGCGGGATCAGGGAAGATGAAAATAAATTACTACCATATTTTAGGTATGGTATCGCCGGCTCCACCAACGTCCAGGGCGAGGAAGTCAAGAAATTGGACATCCTCTCCAACGAGTTGATGATCAACATGCTGAAGGCATCAACCCAGACCTGCCTCCTTGTGTCGGAAGAAAACGATGAATTGATTACGGTACGTAAATCAGCATAGAAGGGTGGATAGCTAGCGGTCTCTAACTCTTCAACCCTTTAGGTCAGCAACATCAACAACGGGGTAGTGTTTTTGTTGTCTGTAGTCTTGCCTGGTTCTGTTTTGAGTGGTTACCAAAGCCTTTAATGCGAATGATACGTTTAAAAAATATAAAGTACGCAAATTAAGGTCGAGTCGCGCCGTCGAGGAAAATACATTTGCTGCTTCGATCCGCTGGACGGATCCTCGAACATTGATTCGTTGATCTCGATCGGCACGATTTTTGGCGTTTACAAGAGGGTATGTTTTCGGCTTTAAATTTAGATAAAAGTATCTAAAACTAAGCGTATCTTAGAAACTTTGACTATAAAAACCATCTGAGAAATGTATTAATATCAAATATATATTTTATCAAAATTCTAGCAAAGCGAAGAGGGAGAACCTACCGAGGCCGATGTCCTCCGGCCCGGAAAGGAGATGGTAGCAGCCGGATACGCGCTGTACGGCTCGGCCACGATGGTGGTACTGTCGCTTGGTGATGGCGTCAATGGATTTACGCTGGATCCGGTAAGTTTTTGCTCCGAGAAGGGTTTTAGAGTAGCAAGGCGCGATAGAGCATACGTCTATTTCTTTCAGTCGATCGGCGAGTTCATCCTCACCCACCGCAACATGCAGTGCAAGCCGAAGGGCAGCACGTACTCGCTGAACGAGGGTTATGCAGCTACGTGGAGCAAGGGAATCGCTCAGTATATCCACGATCGCAAATTCCCGCCACAGGGCAAGAAGGTACGTAAGATAATTTTAAACGACCACAATTTACTACACCTAAAGTTCATCATGTGTTATTATTCAGGGTATGGGCCAGCGATACGTCGGATCGATGGTCGCAGACGTTCATCGTACTTTGTTGCATGGTGGAATTTTCCTCTACCCTCCAACGGCTTCTGCCCCCAATGGAAAGGTAAGTATCCTCGAGGTGTTGGTGTAACATCGATCGAAATCCAATAAAATACACCTTGCTTTATAGCCCTTAAAAACTGGTTTTTTAGCTCCGCCTCCTCTACGAGTGCAACCCGATGGCCTACATTCTAGAAAAAGCCGGAGGATTGGCGACGACTGGGAAGGTAAAACTTTTAGCTCCCTCTCCCTCTCTCACTCTCGCACGCTTTCTCTCTCTCTCGCAGCCACAAACTCTCTCTCTCTCGCTCTCGCTCTCTCTCTTTCTCTCTTTTCCGCTTATGGTTCATTTTTAGGAACGCATTCTCGACATCGTTCCCACCAAAATCCATCAACGGGCCCCGATTATTCTCGGATCAAAAGAAGACGTCGAGGAGGTAAATTTACCTTCCGAATTTTACTGAATACCGTCAGGAATCCTCAGTTATTTATATTTTTTTTCAGGTCCTCGAATATATCCAAAAGCACGACCAATAAACCCCGACGCACGAAGTCTACGCTAAAATTAATGCTAGAAAAAATTGCTCAAACCTTGACATTTTTAAAGTACCCTTCTGTGATTTCACTCTTCCAGCATGCCTCTATATGCTGGTAATAAATATATGTTTTACCCGTCTCTCGGGCGCTAGACACATTAATGAAAAAACCTACTGTTGCAAGATTAGAGGCACGTGGGCGTTAAAAGTTCATGGCGTTTATGAATGCATAGGGGAGAACACAGCTGCCGCCCATACATTTCGCATATTTCCCTGCGCATTGGTTATCACTGGGTCAGAGTTTGGTTATTTCGGGGTAATTGCGTGAATTGCGTGCGCAAAGCTAGGCCTAAGCTTAGACCTAAGCCTAAGCCTAAGCTGCCGCTTATATGAAAAGGGTATTCAGTAAAGCTTTTTCATAAAGAACGATAGAAGTTAAAAACTTTAACGTACTTTTACTTCTTTAGGTACTTCTTCTACTTGTTTTGGGTTAGGTATGGCCCCCAAAAGGCCACATGAGTTCAAAGATCAAAGTTTCGTCACCGAACGCGAGTACTATGATGCTATGGGGAGATTGAATTGCTCTTAAAACCGAATACACCGAGTAACTGACAATTTTTCGGGTGGGAGGGGAGGGCAACAAAAAGCTGCATGAGGGGGTGCGATGATTAGAAATGCATGGCGAAGGCCATCCTAGGGGCGGCGTGTCCACAGAGCTATGGTCATACTAAAATGTGCTCTTCTTTTCAGCCAATAGCAACAAAACGGCAAGAATGCACTTTTATTAGTGTTATTTAGCCTTTCGACTTTATGCAATAATCGATGATCGATATTAGCCATTTATTCATTCCTTCAGCTCCGAAATCGCGTAATAACTACTCTGAAATCATAATAAATCTGTCATGCTCATTTTTAAGTCCGTTTTGTGTTTATGCGTTTTATGTACAAGTACGTTTCATGTCTTACTGTTTATTCTAAAGTTTTAAATTGATTTCCTCATCATCCCGACAGCCCAAAACTCATCTACAGAAAGCAACACGATGTCCTGGGTGAACAACCTCAAAAATTGGGAGCGCCTCAATGAGTCGGCCGAGTATATGAAACGGGTAAGAACATTGGAATCAACGTATTTCTGGTATCCATTTGAGCTTTTTTTAAGGATCATAACTCCCTTATTTCAAGGTCTACGGCGACCCGCAGGCCTACATGAAGTTCGACGAGCAGAAATTCGTGACGGAACGTGAATATTACGGAGATGTGGGGTATGGGGAATGCTTCAACAGTCAAGACTCAGGCGTTCAGGTACCAAACTAAAACCCAAAATAATCACGTCCATTGATTTTTAGTGCGAAATCATCCAAGGCGAGTTCGACCCAAAGCAATTACCCTATGACAAGCGGATGAAATGGCATTTTCGCGAGTTCTGTTATAAGACATCGGCTCATGGGATCCCGATGATTGGGCAGGCGCCTAATATTTATTATAGGTTTGAAGCACACACTCGTTTTGACCGGGATGATCGCAGCGAAATTGTCTTTTTTTCGGAGCTATGCAAGGGGATTTTAGAGGCGTCTGGGTGTGTCTATTCGCTACTTGTATGGTGATGCTCTATTTGAATGCCCGCTCCGTCCTCGACAAATATCATAAAAATGAGAAGATTGTCGATATACAGCTCAAATTCGATACGGCGCCATTTCCGGCAATTACTATTTGCAATTTGAACCCCTATAAGCAACACTTGGCGAGGAGTGTAGCGTTGATTCAACGAACCGTATGTTTTTTGATACGATATGGATCGCTTTCTCTCTCTCTCTTTCGCTCTCTCTCGCTCTCTCGCATTCTTTCTCTCTTCTCCTACTTCATTTTCTCCAGTTAAATGCCTTCGACGGTGCAATGAGTACAGCCGCCCAAGAAGACGAGGAGAAAAGACAAAAAGCTACTGATGAAGCCGAGGAAGCGGCTTCTAGAATGAGACGCGGTGTTACAATTGTAGGCTTTAAGATACCATCCCCGTTACAGAGCCCTTCAGTATGAAGACCTTAAGAAGAAGTGGAAAACACTGGATAAATTTCGGATGCAGCGGGATAATCTACATTTGTTCGAAGTGGTAGGTGGCTTTGGTGATTACATTTGGGATTGGGTAACGGGAAGTATATAAATTTCTATAGGGCTTGTCAAAATGTGCTTGTGAAAAAGAGTCAGAAGAGGATGAGGAAGAGCAGCAAGGACTTTACGATGATTATAACGACCCGGAAGCAGGGATTACTATGCCGCCCGGGAAGAAAGTGCACGAGTGTAAAGAGTGAGACCGTACTAATTGGCTACGGTTATTGTTTAAGGCGTAAATACGAGGAACCAGAGGGTGAGGACGATAAGTGCCTCTGCGCTTTTGATCGGAATACCGAGGTATCTGCCACTTTAATGGATCCAAAAATGATCAAAATTTTAGGACGCGTGGCCTTGCTTCAAAATCCCGGATTGGAATGATCAGCAGTGTGCCAGTTGCACGGCGGACGCGATTTGCCAGCTGAATTCCAGTGAGCGTTGACATATTGAATTTACCTATAAAGTTTAGCTGCGAAAGTGCGAAAGCGGATCCCCTGTAAATGTAACCCGTTGGGCCAATGCGTAGCGTACGATAGGGTATGTTTATTTGTTATAAAAACCCCTTAGCGTCCTTCCTGTTTTTTTTTAGACAGCACCCCTGCTCCACATTTGGCAATACCTAGCCGGAGCACCACCAACCGAAGACCCCAATTTTGTTAAGGCCATGGGTTTTGAGGTGAGGACAATCGGCTTTTCTTGGTATCGAGAAGCTAATTCAGCAGGCATTATTAATGATAATAAATTTAGGGCATGAAAGACGAGGTAGCGATCGTTACAAAAGCTAAGGAAAACATCATGTTTGTCATGTCTGCCTTACCCATGGATGAACGAGAGAAATTGTCTACGCAAAAACGGGAGCTAATCCAAAAATGCTCGTTTAACGGTGAAGCTTGTGATATTGACAAGTAAGTGTTTTGTACCTACAATAAAAGGTGTTTTCAGTGACTTCCTCACCATCGTTGATCCAAATTTTGGTAAGGTTAACTCAAACTTCTTTTAAAATCCGTTAACATTTAGGAAATTGCTTCATATTCAATCACGACCACAACATAACCAAGTCGTCGATCCGGGCCGGCCCTATGTACGGATTGAGAATGTTGGTATATGTTAATGCATCAGATTATATGCCAACGACGGAAGCTACTGGTAACCGAATAGAGGCTCCGTTTTACCTGAAGTTCAGGGGTTCGATTGACGATTCACGATAAAGAAGATTTTCCATTTCCGGATACCTTTGGCTACTCGGCACCTACCGGATACGTTTCTTCATTTGGGTTAAGAATGGTACTTCCATGCGCTGGAAAACGATACTTTTCCCCGCAGAGAAAAATGTCTCGTCTACCAGCACCTTACGGAGATTGCATTCCGGATGGCAAAACATCGTCTTATATCTATCAAAATCATACTTATTCTGTTGAGGTAAACTACGAACTACATTTCAAAAGAATAAATCGAGAAAAAAAATTGATTTCCAGGGCTGCTACCGCACGTGCTTCCAAAAACTCGTGCTTCAAGAATGCGACTGCGGTGATCCACGATTTCCGGTTTTGGAGGATGGAAAGCATTGCGAAGCTTTGAATCCGGTGCAAAGTAACCACGGCCATCCGCGTTTGGCTAGAATGAGATTAAAATTACTTTGGAATATCGAAAATTATTCTGTTTAGGACAATGTTTGGACGACAAAATGGGTGCGCTTAGCGATTTGCATGGTTCTTTCAAGTGTCGTTGTCAACAGCCATGTGCCCAGAGTTTGTATACGGTAGGTCGATTGTCAGATAGAGCACGAGCTTTATCGAGAGGGCGAGAAAGAGAGAACTACAGTGAGAGAGAGAGAGAGACAAAGAGAGAGAGAGAGAGAGAGAGAGAGAGAGAGAGAGAGAGAGAGAGGGGGAGGGGGAGGGAGAGGAGGAGAGGAGAGAGGAGGGGGGAAGAGAGAGAGAGAGAGAGAGGAGAGAGGAGGAGAGCGAGCGAGCGAGAGCTTAACGATGCTTCTAGGTGACGTACTCACCAGCCAAATGGCCCTCACAATCTCTCCAAATTCAACTTGGATCTTGTAATGGTACAGCGCTTGAGTGTAATAAGCATTACAAGTAGGTAACTAAAACTTTAGAAAATGCACTAGCACAGGTTTCTAGAAAATTTACAAAAGTTTAGAGCTATCTAAAATGATTGAAAACTTTCAGGGAAAACGGTGCCATGGTTGAGGTCTTCTATGAACAGCTGAACTATGAATTTCTGGAAGAAACTGAGGCTTACCAGGTTTTTAATGTAGGCTACGCAGATATATTTTTAGTTTGTGAATTTGCTGGCCGATTTCGGGGGTCAATTGGGTCTATGGTGTGGCATTTCGTTCTTGACATGCTGTGAATTCGTGTTCCTGTTTATCGAAACTACCTATATGTCTCTGGAGCATCGGTGGTTGGTGTGGAAACGGAAGAAGGAAGATGCCGAAAGGCGGAAGAAAATGTTGTATTAATAAAGTTGTAAAAATTTGTTGGATCACAGCCACACAGCTAAGATTTCCCTACAAACAACGTAAAAACCGTTTTAAAATCCGTCGTTTGAATGTTCCCTCATTTCCGGTGATGAATTCCGTTTTTTCTTTCCGATTTCTACTCGATGCAGCGATTTGGCTGGTGCGTATTTTTGGGTCGTTATTCAAGTTCTTTTTAGCGCCGTAATTTTGAGTGTAGCGGATAGCGAATTTTTAGGCTTCTTGTGTTGACCATCAGCTTTTTGTGTCTCGTTGAAGCCGCTCCAATTCCACAGGTTTTACCCCAGCTTGGCCCCCAAAATCGTGCTCCAGAATCTCGAGACCCGGCTGAAGTCTCGCGCGTGGTTGAGCCAATTCTTCGAAGCGAGCGACCTGCCCGAAGCCGTACTCGCAGCCGCCCGTTTTATGGAAGTGTGTGCACAGCGTGGCGTAAAACTGTGACTACCAGATTTCCTCACCAACATTTACATTTCAGGAAGCTGCTCAAAAATATTTTAACAAGCGCCTCGAAAACGCCAAGCTGGACATTGTCGTCACCTGATCTGCCGCATATTCGTATGGACCATTCAAATCTCGCGCTCGTCCTTTTCGTAATGTATGTTTTGGAGACGTTTTTCAATAATTTCTTTGAAGAATTTACTTGCTCACCCTCGTCGGGACAACCAATGGCATTAACGACTCCTCGCTTAACTTAACGGTAGGCTTAGTTGATTTTTGGATGCCTTGGTCACCCTTTAGAATTCAGCCTTGCAGCGCGACCGGGAGAAGGTGCTGAAGAATAACTGGCTGCCCGTCTATTGGAGCGTAGAGGACGCGAGCGGCTCCGTCGCCGTCATGCAGGCTGTCATTGATGTGAGTGAGATGTCTGTCTGTCTGGGCGGAACTCCAGATATCCCCCCCCCAGCCGACCCCCAACTTTTGTATCTCGGCTCCCTGTTCATCTACAGGTATGTAAAGTTTACCAAAATGATCGCCAGAGCAAGATGAACATTTTCGTATACGTTACACACCTGTAGATGAACAGGGAGCCGAAAGACAAAAGTTGGGGCCGGCTGAGGGGGTATCTGGAGTCTTACCGTTTGCCTGTATGTCTGTTTGTCTGCCTGTATCCCTACCTGTCTGCCTGTCTCCCTCCCGATTTCACGCCCTCGATTACCATTATGTTTTAGAAAGTCCGTCGCAGTCTCTGGGCCCGCTCCACCGGTGACGACAACGAATAAAATTTTATCAGCGTTACTCGTGAATAAAGCCCATAACTTTTCCAATTTGCGACAAATTTCAATCGATGTAAGCTTTTAAATGTTCTCGAGTTTTTCAGCACATGCTGAACGAGATAAACACCGAAAACAAGATGCAAAGTGAAGTCACTTTCCTCGCTTCCGCTGTGGACGTCGTGATAGGCGTCGAGGTCGCTACGGGGGGTGTAGCTGTATTTTTTGGAACGATCGTCTCGAAATGGATTTCTGCGTAGAACGCCCCAGCACGGTTCCCAGTGAAGGCGGTTGTGTAGGAAAACTAAAGCATTCAAATTGACGTCCAGGAGTGAATTCGTAACCAAAAAAAGTCTTGCCTAGGCCGTTTCTACAAACGGCCGCCCTTCAAGACACGGGACTGCGGAAATCGGTAAGAGTTTACTTTACCCCCCCCCCACAGCCGAAGGGTCTCAAAGTTTTCGGTATTTTCGCTTATTTTGTCGGGATTTTTGCAACGCCATTCGATAGAGCGTCGAAAAATATACTGAGTTTTAATTCGAGCCTACAATAATGCAAATGCAAAATATATATAAAAAAAATAGTGTCTGTGTGTGTGTGCCACTTTGCATGCAACTTCCGTCACCATGTCCGGCGGATATCTCAAGAGGGGAAAGAGTTTATGCTACGCATGATATGTCATTAGGTGCGTAATGGCTCTGCGATGACTGCACGCTTATCAGATTTTACAAAATCAGCTGTTTTCGACATTAAATTTCAGTTTTTGTAAAAATTTCGGGCAGCCTCTTTGTTAGTAAACAATTAACATGCACCGGAAGTGGCGGTAGCCTATAAAAAGGGTCAGGGGGGCGCTTTTCATTTTCAGTTACCGGAATTGATGACATGATGCAAAGTGAAGCATATCATCGGATCAGACGAGGCCAGGGTTGAAAAGTCGCGAAGCGGCTTTTCAACCCTGGTGCAAAATAAAAAACTTATAGCCAAAAACTTCCGGCTGGGGGTAAAGTAAACCGTGCCCGGAAATCAACAAACTCTAACTTCAAGCTTTGTTATATTGGACCTCAACCAAGTTTTTGGCTGGAATTCGACTGTCGGCACGCAAAGCATATCGATGCTAAAAGAGAACATAGAATAACGGTTGAAAAAGGCGACTCAACTCTTCGCGACCAATGCGCTGATCGCCGTTGAAGGTGTAGATATGAAAATGGGCGTCTTCGCAGACGGCTAGGTGGATTGTGACGTTAATGTGTAAATCTGGAACTTCGTGATTTGTTTCATCCACATGCACACCGCAATAATACACTAGCGTGTAGAACAGGCCGTATTCCTGCCTTAAAAAGTAGTCATTGTCGTCGGGGGGCGTCAAGATGGCCACCCCTTGACATTGTTGCAACGTGTAGCCCACAGCTATGTCTGAGAAGTCTGGAAAAATAATGTAAGCGTGGCGAGAACCTTGAACTACCGAAAGCCAAGCGCCGCAATGACACAGTGGGCGTGCAGCCACGCGGGATGAAAATTGACCGCCAGCCGCCAACTACGAGTTGTTGAGGGAAGCTTCGCTGATCACTAAAAGAGGATTTTGTTGCGCATTGCAATTCTCGGGCGGTTGACTGGGCAAATGATTGTCGTACGAGGTTCAGCCTAGAGTTGTTATAACTCAAACAAAACAAGGCCTCAAACAATCTTGTTTGAACAACGTTGTTTGATAGGAATTCAAATTCAAAATTCAAATCAAACATGTTTTGTTTGAGATGACCGTTGATCGCTCAAACAAAACAAGATTGTTTGAACTATTTGAGCAGTTTGAGTTTTGTTTGACCTTGTTCGAAATGTTTTTCGACATTTTCGTAATTTGCATAAATTTTTCCGGTAAAATTTGTTTTTGAATGTTTGAATTCGCTTCCGATCCATCAAAAATCCCCAAAAATCTCACCGTTTAGGGTGCTCAAACAAGTTAAAACAACTCAAACAATCTTGTTTGATTTGATCCCCTGGAACTCAAATCAAATAAGGTTGTTTTGTTTGAAACTTTTCGAGCTCAAACAAGGCAAACTTGTTTGAGTTGTTTGAATAATTTGTTGTTTGTGGTTTGAGTTATAACAACTCTAGTTCAGACCTAAAAATCGTCATCTCCGTCAAATTCTTCCTCTCCGTAATGAGATAGGGATAAAGGACGTAAGCGCAGGTACTCTCGGAGTGCGCCTAAACGATGGTTCAGTCAGTTTATACATTTCCAAACTTCTCCGGCAACACGTTTATCACGTCAAAACGAACTGTAAAGCGTTTTTACACAACTTGGAGTTTCGATTCAGGACCAAGTGTATCTTGTGCAGATCTGATTCCGCAGCCGCTTTACAAATTTGCTACGGACTTTTATTTAAGAAAGCCATTTTTGGTGAGCTTGAAAAAGGCGATAATTTGGATTCTGGCCCACAATTCCCTGCGTGGTCCTTAGACCGCCAGCGGCCCTGAAGTACGCTCTGACAGCGCGCTGCCAAGTTGCCACCATGGTGCGATGGCAAAGAACTCGCTTGCCAAGCGCAGGGCGGCGGTTCGAATCCCCCGCCCTGTGCTGTTTTGTGCCTTGATTTTGCTTTTTGCGTAACAAATCAAATTTTTATCAAAAAAACTTAGCTTGACCTTTAAGATGCTTGTCTAGCCAATATCTAACCAATTTTAATGCTTCATTTTATTAAGAAAATCAAAAACGAAAAAGGCACCTTGGTTTTGGCACAGACCCCTATCATAATTGCCTTATAACTTCCGAAATAAAAGCCCGTAGCAAACTTGGACAACGGGTTCGGAATCAGCGAAAAATTGTGCACAAGATGCACTTGGTCCCGAAGCGAAACTCCAAGTTGAGTAAAACCACTTTACAGTAAGCACTTGCCCATGCAATGTCCTCAATCATCCAAAACGATTTCCGATCAAAATGTGGGAATCCCAGCGCGAGGATCGAGTCCTTGGTGTCATCCTTCGGGATCACCAGCCTCCATAGCCGGTCGATATCCCCAAAAATTGGGACCGTATAAAAATTGAGGTCAGCTGCAAATAGAGGGCATCGACATCAGAAAACAAAGTAAAACCACGCAACGAGGACGCTAGCTGGAAAGTGATGGAATCGAGCACTTTGACTGTATCGTTATAGATTGTTAATTCGATCATATCATTTTGGCCAAATTTTCTGGCCGCGCGTTGGCAGTGGAGGGTGGCGTAGGTTAGGTTTTGGCTTAAAGGTAGTTTGTTTTTGATTTGCCTTAACATTTTCAACGGATTGGATGGAGGCCGTACCTAAAAGTATCGCCGTCATCTAGAAAATTAACAATTTCAGGAGTTCCAACTGGAGACTTCGACGTTTTAACCACACAACCAGTTATAAAAATCTCATTGTCAAGCGTCTGATTCTTCGACAATTCAAAGGTACTGAAAGTTTGCGTAACTCGTAGGAGGTAGCTTACAAAGCCCCACTATAAACGTCTTTTACGTTAATCATGTAAATGGGGTTGTCGTCGGTTAATTCTACGGCGGCCTGATATTGCGGTACGATTTCGTTGACGCCGGTGAAGAGCATCAGAAATCCTCTTTTTCCGGCCTGCTCGACGTCGGGATAGAACGTGAACTTAAAGAAGCACGTAGACGCTTTTTAAGTCAGATTTTGGAATTTATAATTTTTTGCCGCAAATTCAAAAAAATTAAAAACGCGTGGGCTCCTTTCGACTAACCTCCATCCCAAACGTGACCATCCCCTGGACGCCATTTTCTTGACCAGCTTCGGTGAGGCTATAAATTCGAAAAAATTTACGAATCGATCCTATCTCTCACTTCCCAAAAACTGGCCCGTTCCGCCATTCAAAGATCCCGCCCTCCAGCCGGCTCAAATAAAAGTCGGCTCGAAATCGCTGGGCGTTCTGGTCCTCACCGCCCACTAAGAATTCAAGCCTCAACAAAATTTCATTTCCAAAATCGATACCTGCCAACTGAAACCAAAATGTATCGTTCGGCGCCTGCGGATATTCGGCAAACTCCCAGAGATAGTTCGGGGGCACAACGATGTCGAGCTGATGGTCGAGGGTGACGGCAAGCAGATCGGAGTCTGAAATCTGGCAGTGAAACAAGCGGATTTTACAATTACGAACTGTCGATGAAATCATAGATGATCAGCACCGATTGATTTATTGGTGAAAGATGGACCATCGTCAGGGCATTGGCGTAGGCGGCGACTCGTCCGACATTGCTAAAAAAATGCCAGTGAAACTCGACAGACAGGGTGCCCCGAAAAAACTAGACCCCCTCTAGCAGTCCGGAAGAAGCTCAGATCAGGATGATTTTTACACCATTCGAAAGCTCTCGAAAAAGGCGAAAACAAGATTTTTGTTCCGCACTCGGTATTAAAAGATTTCTCAACAAAGCGCCAAAACAGCATCCTCCTGGTAGCTTCTGCAAACAAGACATGCGGATTTTGCATAAAATCTGCAGTTTTCATCGATTTGGCTTCAAAAATGATAACTGATAAAAGAAAAGTGTTTCTGATCTTAACTTTCTGGAAGCGTTCGCAAGATACCTAAATCGTCAAAATCGGGCACTTCTGCGGCCCACTAGAGGGGTCGATTTTTTGGGACACCCTGTATGCATATGTATCTTGTGACATCCCGCAATGTATCAAATGAAGGCTTAGGCTTAGGCTTAGGCTTAGGTTTTGGCTTAGACTTCCCCTGCTTGACAGAACTCACTTGCTGATGTAAGATTTCGAGAACGACGCGCCCGGAATTGATCCCTCGTACATCATGTTGATGCAAGTTGGCTGCTCGCCCGGCCCGTAGCTACAATTCGTTAGCAGAACGACGCCTTGGTGCCGCCAAGGTGGAGGGTACGTCAACATCAGCGTGCTTTAACGAATTTCTATATAAGCAGCCCCGGAAACATACGCTACAAATGTCACTGCCGTGTTGGGCTCGACAGTGAACTGCTTCCGGTGCGGTATGCTCCTGGACCCCTCTCTCTGGGGC